CCAATTCGTCTTCTTCATCATCATCTTCGTCGTAGGCCTCGAAGCACTCATCGTTGATCTCGAACGCGGCCTCCTCTTCCTCTTCTTCTTCATCATCAGCCATTGCTCGCTTGCGCTTCGTCGCAGCTGTGGCCCTGGAGCTGACGGCGCCCAGGCGCGGCCGCTTGGGCTCGGTGAGCGGCACGCCTCGGTCCTTGAGCTCCTTCTCAAGCGTGGCCAGGCGGTCGCGCAGCACCTGCAGCCGGGCCTTGAGCTTCTCGCCCTCGCCGGGCGCGAGCACCTTGCGCTCCTTGAGGCGGCGGCGCTTGCCCTTGCCCTCGGCCACGATGTCTTCGATGTCGACCACCTGCAGCTCGACGGCCTCGATGTCGCTACGCGGCAGGCTGTACTTCTTAGTGTTGGCACGACGCAGCTTGTCCTTCTCCTCCTTGGTCTGGTTGTTGCCCGTGTTGATGATCAGTCCATTCTTCACGAACGTGTTCGGGTTGTTTCGATGCCTGTACACACACGACACGACACGACACACGCAACACAAGAAGTGTAAATAAATAACATGAATATTTATATAAAGACAAAAAAGGGAAAATGCGAAATAAATAAAAGAGATAAAAGAAGACAGACGTACTTCTCCTGGATGTCCTTCCAGACGACGCGGGTGTCGAGGTGTATGCCCTTGAATTGGGCGATGGACTGTTGGCCCACCATCCTCTGGGTCTGGAGGTTGAGCTGACTCCTCGTCTTGCCCGGCAGGCACTTGGACTCGATGATGGCCTTCCAATTGCCACATCCGAACTTGATGATGGCCAATCGCAGAATCTCGGAGGTCTCCTGCGTCCAACCGGGCGAGAGGGAGTAGTTCCACAACGACGGGCTGTCCGCCGTCTTCACCAGTTTGCGTGCCATCGACATTTCTATCTTCTCTTGATGGTGTCAAGTTGTGTTCCTTCAAAATTGTTCCCTTCCTCTCGATATTTTCAAGTACTTCGATAGGATACTATCAAGGCGAGATGAGATATAGAAGACGTGAATTGTCGTTGTGCCTCGATCGAAGATGGATTAAGAACGTTCGGGGGGCTGCTTGGCTCTATCCAAACCCAACACTGGCATCCCCAGCCCCCGCTCAAAAAAAAAGGCGCGAAAAAATCTAAACCGTCTGTCGCCACAAAACTTTCGCGATATTTTTTTTTGTGATTTTTGTTTTATTTGTCTGATTTTTTTGTCATACAGCAGAGATCGAGATGTTCGCCAATGCGTTGGAGAACTGGCTGACGGTGGTGGCCGCTCTGAGCATCTTTGGCTCGCTGCAGGCGTACCTCTCGACCAATACGCTCAAGGACCGCCAGTTCTCTCTCGCCAAGAATGAAGGTTTTACTCCCTCCCCCCCCTCCGGAGATGTTACAGACTTCAAACCCGCAAAAATCTCTTCAACTTCATCTTCTCCTCTATTTCTAGTCTCTCCGGTTGCTCGCCGCCTGTTCGGTGCCTGGACGCTGGTCGCTTCCCTCGTCCGCCTCCAGGTATTGCCGCGCCTTCTCCTTATTTCTCCGCCACAACCGCGTACCTGACGTTTCGCGTTCGTTCTTCTTCTTCGTTCTTCTTCAACTCTGGTGAAACGTTTCGCGTAGTGCGCTATGGACTCGACGAACAAGGCCATCTACCAGACCACCATCGGCACCTTCCTGGTTGCCTTTGGCGTCTACGGCTACGAGTGCTTCGTCGCCAAGACCGTGCCGTTCAAGCACGCCCTCCCGCCCTTCATCGTCGCCGGCACGCTCTCCGTTCCTTCTTTCTCTCCAAAAGGGCTTGCAACCCGAAACAAACAACAATGTTGGCTTCTTTCCTTCTTCTTGCTCACCACCACTTGATTGCGGGTTCAATTGCAACAGGCACCTCGCTGGTCTGGATGCTGTTCTTCCACTGAGCGCGCAAGACAACTGGGCACACGAGCCACACTTGCAAGCCCCCCCCCCAAGAATGTTGCTTCATTCTTTCTCCCATACACGCTGGCTTCTTCCTCTGACTGCTTCCCTTTACGACGTGAGAGTCGGGGTCAAGAGGGTTGTGGCATTGTGGCATCAATGGTGGCATGCCAAGTTGGGTGACGCCTACACTCGATCGAGCCCACGCCATCTTTCGGCCGATGTCAGCCCCTCCGCAATGCTGTGGGAACCGTGGCCTTCTCTCGGCCGAATTGACTGGCTGCTTCCCTCGAAGTCATACAGCGCAACTCGCGCATCCCACTGCACGCGTTGTTTTATAAAACATTGTACGCAGTACCCACACACGAGAAGCGAAAGGGAGGTTACCGTTGCGGCGGCGATGAAACGGGTGGTCGCGGCAAGCGAGCTGATGTCCTGTGTGCCTGGCCTGGACTCGCACCAGAGGTGACGCAGGCCTTGGCTGTCCAGGTTCCAGAGCCGTATGTGAGGTCCTTCACCTACCATTGCACACATGGTGGGGCCGTAAGCTATGATGGCAGAAGCTGAGTGTCTAAGAAAGGGAGGTTGGTGGTTGGCCGGACCTGTGAGAATGGCTGTAGGTTGCGTTGCAAAGTGCTTCTTCTGCATGGCGTGGATCATGACTGAGTCGTCGGCGAGTGTCTGGATGCACTTGCCCTGGGCACGAGACCAGAGCCTCACCGTGCGATCTTTGGGTTGTGGATGTCAACATGAAAAGGAGAGAGACCGACAACCAAGTTGGCATTGTTCAGAAGATGGCCTGTACCGTCGCTGCCGCTGATGATCTGCTCCTGGTCGGGGCCGTGCAAGAGGATTGAATTCACATGCCCGGCGTCGAACTTCTGCGCGGGCTTACCTGTCCGCAGGTCCCAGTCGATCATCTGCCTGTCGACTGTGTGCACCACGTTGTCAACAACAACAACAACACAACACCATTAATGGGTCCTTTGATGAAGGGGGGGGAGGAGATGTTAAGAGTGCCACCATCGCACCTGAGCCTGAGATCAGCACACCAGGTTGAAGCTGCATGCAGGTCACATAGCCATTGTGTGCTAGAAGCTGCTGTAGGAGCTGGCCGGTCTCCAGGCTGAACACACAAATGCCGCCACTCGCATAGCCCACCGCAGCAATGGTGGGCTCGATCGCGACAGAGGCTATCGCGAGGCTGAGAGGCTCGGTGTTCGGAGGAGCTGGCACCACACCAACCCGACCGTCACAACAACCATGACGATGTTCATTGCTTTTCATCAATCCACTCCGCACACCACCAACCGAGGGAAAGACAGGAGATGTGCACCGTACTTAGGGAATGGAGCAAGTTGGCATCATGGGCGTCCCAGACCTGTGCACCTCACAACAAGCAACTCGCTTTATAATATCATACTAATATTACATAATATTTCTATAATACTTATATCATTTTGAATATTCTACTTAAAGTTAGGTTGTACCCGCATGGTAGTGCCAAAGGCGCTGGCAGAGAGAAGGATGTTGGTTGAGGCAGATGGGCTGTGCGGCACAAACGCCATGATGGGTCCGCCGCCACTGAGCGCGGGCCGGCTCTCTAGCGCCTTGGCGTCCCACAGGTGCGCCGCGCGTGCGGTTGCCGACGCCAAGAGGAGACCGTCGGGCGACAGCTGCAGGGTCCGCACAGGGCCGCTGTGGGCCGAGCGCAAGCGCCGGACCATCGCTCCTCGAGCGCGATGTTGCTTGGCTTCGTTCTCTTCGTCTTCATCGTCGTCGTCGTCGTCGTTCACATGTGTCCTGCTCCCTGGTAGGTCCAGCAGTTCCATCGATCCTCCCTTTGTTCTGCACACCGCAACACAACAAACAACAAACAAACAATCATCATTTTCTTCATCATCATCATCATCACCAATTGAGAGCGCGACGAACCCCAGGATGAGGCGCCCGTGTGCCTCGTCGATGACCATGCACTCTACGGGCCTCCCTCGGGGCATACCAGTCACGGTGACGTCGCACAGCCCGCCGGCCCAGTTGCCCTCCACCGGGGCCAGCTCTCCCCACAGGCTCTTAGTTAACGGCCTGTCCCCGAGATCACCGTGAGCCGCTGCTGCTGCTGCTCTCCTTCTGCTGCTGGTGCAGCACAAGTCCAGCCAGGCCGCCCGGTCAGGCCCACCCGAGGCGGCGAACCCGGGGCGCCACAGCTCGTCGTTCTCGCTGGTGATGCGCCACGCCGAGCACACCAGCGCCAATCGGCCTATGTCGCGCGCGCTGAAGAAACTGAAGATGTGCGCCCACATCTCAGGCGGCAGCCGTGGTCCCGCAGGGGTCATCAGTTCCATGTCTCGTCCGTTGGTGAGAAAGGTGGTTTCTGGCTGCGGCGCAGAAGTCAACAAATGTGAACAAAACAGTCGGGCTGTCGGGCTTCCCACCTTTGCCGACATCGCTGTCGGGGCAGCCAACGTGGAGAATATGATTGGTTGATCAGATATCGGACTTCCAACTTTCTCAACCATTAAAGAGAAGAAACGTAAAGAAACGAATTTTGTTTCCAACAAACAAACAAACGAAAATGAGTGGCCTCAGCGCTGGTGCGTTGGAGCTGGCTTGACTGCCGGGGTCGCGTTTGCAGGGGAATTGCCCAAGAATCGTGATTCGAGAACAGATGTCACGAGTCCTACTAGGTGGGGAACGTTGACGACATAGTTGAAGCCGTCCGACCCTTTCATAAGACCTGATGATGTGTGTGTCGTGTGTGCGCGCAGCCAACATCAGTTTGTCTCTAGGTCTTACTTCTGTTGAACTGCACATATTGCACGAGGATCGGGTACGGACCTTCTTTCGTCAAATTAGCAACCACACCGTGGTAGGCCGACCCCAGGCGCGCAGTGGTCATCATGTTCTGTTCGTAGCCTCCCACGAACTGTGTGCGGCGGCGCAGGCGTGCGTGTGTGCAGGAGGTTAGTGTGTGTGCGCGGCATGTCAAGTCTGAAGTGAAGGTGGGCTGTGACGGTGGTACCTCAACAACGTGGACTCCGGGCCTCGTCGCCGCCAGGAACACGAAACCTGTTATCGTGGTGGGTGGTGGGTGGTGGTGGGCGGCGGGCGGTACAAAACCGTGAGCTTCTGGGGCAGCGATCACTGTGGGACGCATTCATCACAGCCACGTACCGGCGCCGTGGGGTCCGATGACGAAGTCGGCCTGCGCGTACAGCGCCAACGTCTCGAGGAGCGGAGTCTTGGGGCAGTGCTCCCTGTAGTTGATCTTGATGTACCTCTCCCTCCGCTCTACCTCCGTTCGCTCATCATCGTCGGCTTCGCTCTTTTTCGCGGCGGCCTTCGTTCTTTTCAGCAGCTCGGCGGGGAAAGTGACGGCCAGCTCCAGCAGCGCGGTCTTCATCT